CGTACGATAGTAGATCGAAGCTTTAATTAATTAGCGCTTGCCTTTGCGCTTTTGAACTTTCAATCGTGCGTTTTTTATTCGAAGATCAAAACAATAAAAATTTCATATCTCTTATATATAATATAGAACGAGCGACTTTTCTATAAAGCATGAATGAGAATTCTTACTCTAGAAAGTCAACGTGATCAGAATTATTTTAGTGTTAAGTATATTTAAGTATGCTATATTGAAACCAAAATGAGAGAAACTGTTATAAGTTGCAACAGTTTCATTTGCAAATCGGAACAACTTCTACAGAGATGGAATAAATCGCGAAATCAAATACTGTTAATTGTTTCCTTTCTGCAGAACTTGATCCGGATTTATTTACAAAATGTCAAAATAAGAATTCTCCAAATTTTTGAAAACTTTTAAAATATATTCATAATTTTAAATATATAAAAGCAATATGTTGAAATATTTGGCGTAACAAATCTATATTTATATTTATAAATATGATTCTTATAAGCAAATATTATATATACTCTTGATAATGTGGACTAATTGTTTATAATTATTGCTGCCTAAGTCATTATATATTATTTAATTATTTAATAAATTACAGTTATTAAGGCAGCTGATCTGAAAACATATAACAAAATCTGTTTAAGATATTCTAAAAAAATTTGCTAATAATTGATGATAATTATCGCATTTAGCGTCTTTATTCCTTGAAAACTGAATCAAAGTCGATTGGAAAAACTTAAATTGGAAAAACGGCGTCGCTTTTATTGAAGATTACCTGATGATAATTAAACATCCTGCTTTATTTGCCGACTATTCAATAATCTGATCTGATCGAATATCGTTGAAAAGCGCCTGAATAAAATGCCTCTCAAAGAATCGCTTTATTAGTCGGCTTTGTCAATTTTCATTTCACCGAATTTTAATTATTTTGTATATAACTTTTGTCAAAGTCTTTTTAATCAATTAAAACGAGAAAAGAATTGACATTTCTTTAATCTTGTTATATAAAAAAGATGTAAAAGAATAATAATTGAAAAATGACTTGTTAATGACTTGAGCTACATCAAAATTAAAAAAAAGAAAAATTTCGTGTGAATTAAATTAAACTTTAGTTAATTAATTTTAAATTAATTTTTATTTAATTATTTTATTAATAATAACTTTTTTATTAAATAAATTGCTATTTATTGTAAACATAGAGAATACACGATAAGAGAGACAAGATAATATCTAAATACATCGATTCCTTAAATTAAACAAGCTTTTATTGTACAAAGTTTATCTTTATTATGTTATATCTACATACATAAGAGACGCCGTTTTTTCTTTATGCATTTGTTAATTTCCAAGTTTAACTTGAGTCGGTGTACCTATCGTAAAAAGAGAGAAAAGAGAAACATAAAATGTCGGTCTCGAATTAGAACGTCATAACCGACAAACGTCATTATTCGTGTCGATTGGAAAAAAAAGAAAAAAAAATATAATCAGACGTTCTTATTTAGTTTCGAGCACCGTACAAGCACCTATACATCGAAGTTATTTCTTATCGTTTTTGAGAATAAGTTGTTTAAACGAGAATGTGGAATCCAATTAATTCCAATCAAATGGAAATACTGTGGACAAAACAGAAAATTAAAAAATTTTTTTAAAATTCGTAGAAAGTAAAATATCCAAGAGTGATTGATAAAGAAATAATGGATTCTCCATGTTTTCGTGAAGATAACTTGTTCCGCGTCCCTCGATGTAATCCTGCGCGAAAATAGTTTACCTGAAATTCTACGAATTTCAACCCTTTCGCCACTTTCGTTAATCGAAGACACTTAAGAATAACGACGAATAAATTTTCACGCACCTCAAATGTATGCAATTTGCACAAGATTACAATTTGTGCAATTTACTTGCATCGCTAAAATAAAAAGCTTAAAAACGATTTTTTAAATCTTTTAGAAAAGCAAAGATAAGT